GTACAGCAATTAACCACTAGGAAGAATGTATGCAATGTGTTAATTATTGAAACTGTCCTACCAATTTGATTTGAAACTGTCTCATTGCTATTTGTTTATTAATAAAATTATGGGGAAAAAAAGCATGTTTGCAATATATAATAATGACATTTACCTCAGGGACTTGAGATTGTGACCAACATAAAATTTATCATCGTAACCATTTTTAAAGTATATAGTACAGCAATTAAACATATGTCTTTGTTGAAGATCTCTGCAACTTTCCCATGTTACAAAAATGAAATTCTACATTCTTCCCGCCTTCTCTTTCTCTCAGTTGCTGGCAACCAATACTCTATTTCCTAAGGGACTGCTTACTTTTGATAATTTACAGTGGAAACATGCAGCATTCGTCTCTTTGGATGACATGACATATGACAAGATCGCCTTTGTCAGGCATAAATATTCAATTTTGTCTATACAGCATGTTTCCTTTCTGAATTCATCCACTGACACGCAAAAAGTTGCTGTCACCTGTTGGATCATGCCAATAATGGTAAATGTGCAAGTACCTTTTAGAGATCCTGTTTCCAATTCTTTTCTTTTATGTATTTAGTACAGAGTCTACAGGGTCTCACTACACAGATCAGACTTGTAGTGATGCTCCCATTTTCAGCCTCCCAAGAGTTGGCATTATAGGCGTGTGCCACTATACCCTGCCCTGTCTCAAATCTCTGTCTCATTGTGCCCCGGGAGTGGGTCCAGCATGGCACGATTGAACCAAAGACTATTTTTAATGTTTAAAGGAACCTCTATACTGTTTTCTATGAACAATAAACAATAATTCTAACTTCTCCACATTTTCACCAATACTGGTTTTTCTTTTTCCCTTTCCCTCCCTTTCTGCCTTAGTTGAGGTCACTTAATGGGTATGAAGTGATATCATTTCATGGTTCTGATCTGCATTTCTCTGACAATTAGTGATGTTTAACATCTTTGCAGATGATTGTCATATGTACATATTCTTTGAAAAAAATCTATTCAAATTCATTGCCTGAGGGGGGGTTTTCTCACCATGTGACTCTCCTTAGGCACACTCTACGTCATCGATCACTTTCCTCTTTGGCCCCATAATCTTCTTGATCATCAAATTTGGGACACTAGTGAGTTACACGACGTTACAGTACAAGTTCTCATATGTCCTGAGTCTTAATTGACCTTAGAAGGTTAGGGCCAAAATGTTGGCTTTCCATGTAGCCCTCCTTTTTCTCTAA